GTCAATTGAAGTCAATTGAATAAAAATACATAATTGATATATGATATGAAGATTATTTATCTGCAGTAGTAACACAATTTTAGGAACTTTTCTTTTCTATAAAGATAAGTAAGCCTCCTTTTACTGAGTGATTCATATGTCTATATACATATTGTACATATAGATATTGGCTATGTAGAGTCACGCGTGTGTTTAGTTTTATCTTGAAATGAGCACGCTGTTACGCGTCACTGTTAATCGAGGTCGGTCATATTCCATCTATTATATATATAATATAAAAATATATATATATATTATATTTATTCGTTTACTTATCCATTTATTTATTTATTAAAAAAAAGAGACCATAAATATAAAAGAAAGAGAAAAAGGAATAAAATTGGCAAATATTCTAATTCTATTGTTATCAAACTTTTTTCAATCGATATAATTATTAATAATAATTAAAATTAATTCATATTTAATTCTTTATCAAAACTAATAATGACATTTATTAGAAAATAATTTTACATATAAATATATATAAAAAAATATGTATATATATATATATATATATTTGATTTATAATATAAAATTGTTTGACATGTTATAAGTACATACTTATATACATGTATCGATTAATACGATTCGTATTCGATGGCATTTAATCGACATTCACGCATTATCTTCTGTTTGAATATTTGAATTAAACGGAAAGAGTGCTTGGAATAATCGTTCTCGAATTGCGTAACGAGACATGCAAAACATTCAGTGTCATTTGTTGCGTAAGCAACGCGGACACATCCTGGTTAAACGATTTTGTGCCAATTTAGTAATCTTAACCAGCTTCGCTCGAATTAGAATTGATTCGTATGATACGGCATACTTCGCGATTATATGTGTTATCATGGATGTGTGTAGAAATAGAAACTTTTTATTATTTTTTTATAAAATAAATTGAACACAAACACACATACACACACATGTATTTTTTTGACATTCGAGAATAGTCTTGAAAAAGAATAGTTATCATTCATTCATATTTATTCCAAATTAATGAGTATCCAACTTATATGAGTTAAAACAATTCTTAAAAAGAATTATGAATGTAAGCATTCATTATCCCAATTATCGGGAAGCACGTTTTTCCACAATTTCATCAAATTTTTTAATAGACAAGGTGTACCACACTTAGGTATATTCATATAGTGTGGTATAAGTGTTTTTGTATCATTTAGATACATCAACTGTAAAAAAGGAATAAAAAATATTAAGAGAAAGGGAGTGAAATAAAATTTCAAAAAAAAACAAACATAGTTGAAAAAAACGATTGATATTTCGACACATAATAATATTACCTTCAATTCCATGTCTTCTGTAAAATTGGATCCAGCATGCAATTGAAAAATAAGCGTCGATCCATATTCAGGTTTAAAGTATTCATTCGTGAAACCCATGGTTCTCAACAAATTAACGAGAGTTATATCATGAGCAGAATAAAAATATGCTCGTCTTGTATCTTGATTATTAAAAGCATTCAAACGCTCCAAAATTTCTTTAAGCAATGGTCCTAGAAAGAAAAAGCTACATACGTAAATATGATATCTAGTTATAGTAAGAATAGTTTTTGGATCCTTTACAATTTTTATACCTCCACGAAGTCGTTGTTGTAATGTATTACTCGTAAATATGGCTAAACTACGAGCTGCGATTTCACGCATTTGTTGATTATAGTATTCGATTGTCCATTCGGGTAATTTTAAACCATTGCGTTCTTCAATTTCCAAAGTGTTATATAAAAATTCAATATCGGTAATCGTTGAAATATTTTGCCCGGTATAATTAGAAAGTTCTTGATAATATTTGCTTGATGGAGATTCTGGACGTCTAGATTCGTTCACATATGCTTCTTTCAAAGCTTTTTCTAATCTTGGACAAGGTGCTTTAACTACAATCATCTGAAAATTATATTTTTTTGCTTGGTGTTCTCTCTCTCTTTCTCTTTTTCATTTATTAGCATATATATATATATGCATGCTAATAAATGAGAGAGAGAGAGAGAGAGAGAGAGAGAGAGAGAGAGAGAGAGAGAGAG